ATCAAAGAGGGGAAACATATGATTTAAGCATCATTTGTATATATTTATCAAAAAGATAAATATAAAACATTCAATTATTATGATGCTTTTTTTTATTCACAAAAGAGATAATTGGAGAGTGAAGGAAATGGTGTTAAATTTAGAAAATCAGAACAGAAAGAAGATGTTCTGTCAATAAAATAGTCTAAATTATTTATATAAAAAAATTATGTATTTAAAGATTAGCTTTCTCACCTTCAATAAAGATTCTTCAAACTTTTGCTCATATCCATTTTCTTTTGTCTTTTATATTAAAACCCTTAAAGGCTAATTGAAGGCTAGAATAAATTGTAATATTCCCACACTTCTTGTTAGCATTAAAGGCTAAAGTTTGATTTATTGAATTCCTATTTTTATTTGTTTTATTGCATAGTTTGTTGTCATGAATACATCTTCATGATTTTGTCATTATTACATGAACACATCTTCATGTTCATATACATCAATCCATTGTTAAACTCACCAACTTTCCCATCATGCCTTAAATCAATCCCCTCTCGGATTGTCAACAATAGACAATCAGGATTAAACTATCCACCTGCATTCATCCCGCATATCTTAATAACCACCATGCAATTTTTAATTTATTTTTAAGTAGATATCTTTTTGTTTCGTATCTGCCACGTCCATATATAATCCGCCTCTAAACTAAAATTCTCACACTAGTAAATGCCCAATTTCTTCATAATCCATAATTAGCATACTATCCTGAACTAATCCGGCACATAAACCACAGACCCTCTCCCAACTATGGATGTTAATCGGTCCCGCAATAATTGTCAGCCGACTTTGAATAAGATTTATAAAAAATTGACATTTTTAACCGGTATTCGTCCAATAAATAAAGTCATAGAAAAATAATTTTTCTATTACATTTTCTAATAGAGGTTTTTTACATTAGTTTTTGAGTAGCTTTGATGGGACCGAACAGTGTGGAGAAATTTTAGCTAATAGGTCCCTAATCGGTCCCATTCAAATTACGCAAAAACTAATGCAAAAACCGATAAACTTCTATTAGAAAATGTAACAGAAAAATTATTTTCTATGACTTTATTTACTAGACGAATACCGGTTAAAAATGCCAATTTTTTATAAATCTTGCTCAAAATCGGCTGACAATTACTGCGGGACCGATTAACATCCCTACTCCCAACCACAAGCACAAATTTGATATTTTAGGATAATCTGAAAACCAATTTTTACTAGCAGGGATGCTATCGTCATTATGTCAATTTAAAGGCCTGTAAAGTAATGGTACAAAAATTTGGAAGTTTCGTGATTTTTGAGACTATGAACCACCGAATTTGGCTTGTAAAAGTTATCATTAATTGATATTGAATCTTAACGATCCAATTACAATCTTAGTTTGCATATAATATTTTCGGTCTGATTTTTTTGATTACAGGATTGCACTATTACGGTTTAAATAGATTATGTATATGTGTTTAAATAAAATTTTTAAATATCAAAAATAACTTCGCGCGTAACAAATCTATATCGTATTACATAAATAAAAAAGTTTTTATCTTTATGCTTTTTTGACTTATTAAATACTGGACCTCACTGGACCTTCCATCCAGTGGTAAAAAAATATGACTGGAAGGGTCTAGTGAAAACGTACCACTGGAACCTAAATTTCTTCCAGTTTCATCCAGTTAGTTCCAGTAATGCTTCCAATGATATTTACTGGACCGGTCTAGCAACAACACTGAATTGGAATACGTAGAACTATAAATAGTAATAGTTTCTATTACATCTTTAATTTTCAAATCTTTCGATTATAGCTTTTTTCGATTTAGTTGGATTGACGAACTGCATAATTTTTTTTTTATAACTAATCTAGTCAGTACTATTTTTTATTTTATCAGCGCACATGCATTAATAATTTTAAATATTAAAAATTTACGTTATATTCAGTTAATAGAGTTTTTTTTTTTTTTAAATTTAAAAATATTACAGTAATTTATAGTATGCAAAAAGAAGTTTTTTAATTCTTGACTTTTTTTGTTGACCATTTCATTTTTAATTTATTCGATTTAGATGATTCTCAAGCAGCTCTTTCAATGAAATTTGTTATTAATTGGAACATTACACAATCATTGCGTTTAAGTGATCTTTATTAACGATTTTGTTGAAAATCTATGGTGTGTAATATGAGTTTAAAATTTATCCCAGTCAGATCAAAAGATAGTTTACTTCTCCCTTTTTTTTCATCAAAATAATTCACTTTTCCAATTTATTCAATTATCAACTTCAGCATTCTCAAGCGCCTCTCTTTACAGTTTATAGAATAATCTCAATAACCATCTTTTTTTACAGCTATTTTCATAATTTCTGGAACACCTGCTCATTACCCGAAATCTTTTTAGTCATTTGGTAAATTACCTAACCCTCCGGAAACTACATCGCTGTCTTCAGACCTTCAGTCCGGAGGCAGTGATGTAATTTCCAGAGAGTTAGGTAATTTGCCGAATGACCAAAAAGATTTCGGGTAATGAGCAGGTGTTCCAGAATTATGAAAATAGCTGTAATAGTTACCCTGATTGGTTAAAATTTAAATCCATAATTCGTATAATGAGCTCCGGCAAAATTATTAGAAGGATCACTTCAATTATTGCAAAAAAAGATAATCACTAGAATCTCAGGTACATCCATTGCCTATTATCTTTTTGCAAAGTGCTATGATTTCAATTAGAGGTTGGAACCAGTTTTATTAACTTTTTGAAAATTATAACCGAATATAAATCGGTTATTATTATATCATATCCGGTTAAAGGTTAAATTCGATTATGGCTGTTTTCATAAATTCTGGAACAACTGAAAAAATTGCCGATGACCGAATCGATAAGTTTCTGAGTTCAACCGAGTCGGTTGCCTATTAATTCAGGTTTGGTAACTTATCGACTCGGTTATCGGCAATGTTTTAAACTCTTCCAGAATTTAGTAAATGTGAGTCGTGCCGGGTCACAAAAATAGGTAATTTGCAGACCCTTATTCCCAAGTTAATATTCTTCAACCGATGAAATCACGTACTTGGTAATATTTAAATTTAAAATCTTGAACAAAACTCTGGTTACTGTACGCAATGCTAAATATATATATATATAAAAATTAAAATGAAAATAAAATAAAAATAAAATAAATGTAAATTAGACCAAAATATTATAGTAGTGAAATATACTATATATGCATTAACACATTTCTTACTGCTTTCGCTCAACCATAAAATGGTTTTTAGCAAAGTCACAGTTTATGTTACAATCTGTTCTATTAGTAAATACGTAGATTAAAATTAGAATGACTAAAAATGAGTTCACATTAAGAGCTTTTCATTGTTATGATCTAACCTTAATAAATATAGTGTTTCATAAATATGTCTTAAGAAGTGTATATAATAAAAATACATTTGTTAGGTAGTATCTGAATCATATCATGGTTCATAGAAATTTTTTCTTACAAATATCATAAATATTTTAAATATTAAGCTTTTTTAGAAAAATTACTTATTTAATATAAAAAACAATTTTTTTAATGGATAATAGATCTGTTATTCGGTAATCGTATATGCTCTACCGCTCTACCCTCGTTAATATCAACCTAAGCTATAAGATGAATTTATACAAATTTTTATATATTAAATTCCCTCACATACAACTTTAATATAATCCCTTGTTAATATCACTATTTTAAATAGGTTGTTATAAGCGAGGGTAGAACTGTACACTTTTAAAGTATATAAAATCACCAGGTAAATAGTAACGGCAGATCTTATCATAAAAGAGAATATTTGGCAAATATTTGTCGATCTTTGACTGAGAACTTTATGGGTGCTATTTAAAAGCAACTGTTTGTATTACCGTCTACAATAGTACAAGGATTACCGAAAAAAAGTACAATAACAAGTGTATAAGGTATTAAAATTACATTAAGATCCATTCGTGCACCTTCTTCAGTATTATTTTTGTTTTATAAACGTCTTTGAGATCTTCAGGAATTCATATTCTGCTCTCGAAGTTTCCGTTTTTGTCTTTATTTATAAGGGTTAAACACTCAATACATGTTTTTTATTACTTCAAATCATTGATTTTTTATTATTCGACTGAATACACAATAATTTTATTGATATGAAAGAATACTTGTTACTACGTTATAAACAGAATCGTTATGTTAACAAATATCGCCATACATTGTGCGTCAAATTTTTCGGTAAATGATTTTAACTCTGTACGTAATTAGATTCGTGCAATATGGAGAGGTTTTCGGGCCGAGTTATTTTCCCGTGTTGGAAATAAAGGTTATGTATGATATTACGACGGTAGTTTAACGATTTAATAATCACTACATTAACTAGTAAAAAGAATAAATTCCGAAAACGTTTGTTATTAGATAAAATCGATTAAACTAGAATTAAGGATTAAAATGAAATTATTATACACTGCAATGATAAATTTTCACATTCAAAATTTTGGAACATCTTAATGATAAAATTTTGCGAACTTAATATCTTATTTTAAACAATCGACTAATGAACAATATGTGTATCCTGTACAATTTCAAAGTATACTAATTAATATACTCATTTAATGCAAATAAATAAATTATAGTCGCAAAATCATACTGGAAAAAAATTTTAATAAAAATATTGTATTCATTAAAGTCAAGTAATATGATAGAAATCTTTTTTGGTAGTAGAATCTAGTAAATCAATATATACTTTTGCTTATTATTGTTATTCGTAAAGTTAACGTGGCTATTGGAGAATAAATGCATTAACTAGTTAACTTATAATCGATGTATATACGTTTCGTACGACAGCATTATCGTTACTATAAAGCATTTATTTGTATTTTGTGAAATTGTTAGTGTTTATTTACACTGTAACCTAAAAACTCGTATTTTAAAATTTCTTCATTATCAATTACCTTTAATTTTTACACGAAAAGATAACAATTATTTGCAAAATGACTACTACAGCAGTTAAAGATGGAGAATTTCGAATGTCTGTATTCGGTATTTATAAGGGATAAAATTCTATTAATCTCAATGGTCATTTAATTACAGAAAGCCCTCTACTTTTCGTAATACGATCAGTAAAGATCCGGATGCGATTTTTACTCCTGAAAAGTTAGTTTATTGCAATGGTGTTAGTTGTAGGTCTAGTTGGTTATTTAAGCTGTTATTTTTTGTTGTACTTGCACTATGTAGGGATCGTTATCATTTGTACATTGCTCGGAGTTGTCCATTTGTATGTTTATATTTATCTCAATTTTTGCGAATTTCTTTCAAGTATTTCTAAATTAATTTTTTCTAATTATCATCTTCCACTAACAGTCTCATAGAGCAGCCATCGTACGAGCATTGAAAAGGCTTGAGGACATTATTGGATTGAGCGTCGTTGATTCCGTTATGAGTGAAAAAGGATGGAAATTTAGTACTCCCGAGGAAACTCCTGGGTGTATTCCAGACACTGTTAATAATGCTCAATATCTTAACGAACTATATTTCAAAGTTAATCCTGATTATGATGGAAGGTTTGAATTCAAACTTTGTTTATATATTTATACATAATTTAACATAATTCCATTAATGAGGATGCTATATTTTAGATACACTGTACCTGTTCTTTGGGATAAAAAATTGCAAGCAATTGGTAGATATCGAAATTATTATAAACCAGAACAAGTTCAATTAAAGATAACTCATTCTTTGCTATTATAGTCAATAATGAATCGAGCGAGATAATCCGCATTTTTAATGATGCGTTCGATGATTTCGTTCCAGAAACAAGGGGCAAAACTTTTTATCCAAAACATCTTGCAAGTGAAATTGACAAAATAAATGATTGGATTTATAACAAAATTAACACTGGTGTTTATAAATGTGGATTTGCTGAAACTCAAGATGATTGTACGTACGCAATTTGTAATTTTTTTTTTTAATTCTTAGAATAAATTGTTTGTATTTTCTATCAATAGATATGAATCATATTGGGCTCCTGTTCGAGGCTCTGGATGATGTGGAAGCCATTCTTTCCAAAAATAAGTTTCTTGTCGGAAATACTTTTACTGAAGCTGATATCAGACTTTGGACCACAATTGTTAGGTGATATATATATTAAAATTTTTATAATTATCATTATTGACTGATATTATAGAAGTTTGATAGTTACATATCACAAATACTGTATATTCAAAAATTACGTAGATTTGATCCAGTTTATCACACGCTTTTTAAAACAAATTTGAAAACTATAAAACATGACTATCCAAACATTCTTCGTTGGACTAGGCAAATTTATAAAATCCCTAAAGGTAAACCATTACGTTCTTATTTCATCAAATTAATTAATATTAAGATACATTAATAATCAATTTTAACATTAAGTTGCTGATACTGTCAATATGACACACATCAAAAATGGTTATTTCAAAAACATGAAGAAAATCAATCCACATGGAATTGTTCCTGTTTATGATGGACCTGGTATGTAAACTTTTTTATAAGATATTCATCTAATGAATTAATAAATAATATTTTCTAATAAGATATTTTTACTTTCGATTTATATGGTTTCAATTCTCAGATCTTAGTTTATAAGTATTGTTTCAACCTTTGATTTACTATCCCATAAATTAGCTTAAAATTTTTTGTAAACATTTAAAAAACATTTTGATCAGTATGATAAAATAAAAATTCCATATAACTTATAGTATTCTATTTTTATACGTATTTAACTACTCGATAGTCAAGGAAGTCCCGTAACTGAATTAAAATTTCTTTGAACAAAGTTTCTATGTTTAAAATTAAGCCTTTACTTCTTTTGTTTCGTTAAATAGTAGCAATATTATATTGAAAATGTACAATAACAAATTGGATGTGAAACTTTGACATATCAATTAGAGATGCGAGAACTATAAATAGCGATAGTTCTATTACATCTTTAATTTCAATTCTTTCGATGATATTTGCACAGTATCAATTCTTTCGACTATGATGAGTGAAAATCAGGAAATAAAATTTATGATTGGTTAAATTTTATTCCTGGTTTTTCACTCTCACGCACTCATATAATATACATAATTTATCGCTCTTTGGATCGACATAATTTTTTTGACAATACGTAACTATGTTAGTCAGTACTTAGTTTTAATAATGTTACAAAGCCTAGATTAATGCTCACATAATTTAAATAATTAAGAAATTTAGGTTACATTCAGTTAATAGAATTTTTTTTATATATAAAATTTAATTTATAGTATGCAAAAAAATATTAATTTTTAATTTATTCGAAAGAAATAAATTTAGAAAAAAAGAAAAAAAAATAAAAAAGAACTATAAATCAAAATACTAAAAAGAAAAAAAAAATAAAGAAAAAAAATAAATCTAATACTATTCAATTATAAATAGACTGAGGGAAGTTAAATGTAATACAGGTGACCCTCATTAATATCAACCGATTTGAACCTGTTCAAAATTATGTTGATAGTGATATTAACGAAAATTTATATTAAAGTTGATATATACGAGGGAATTTTGATATATAAAAATTTGTAAAAACTTGATTTGTGGCTTAGGTTGATATTAACGTAGGTTGATATTATCGGGGGTCACCTGTATATTAAAAAAGAGTAAAAAACTCGCAATACAACTGAAGTGCCTTTCGGAAAACTTACCAGTACTCAGAACTCTGGCAATAAGAAGACCAGATATTTATGCAGGCAGTAACTGTATAGCCTGCAACATTGGTACATTAGAAATGCAAGACTATTTAGCAGTATGTACTTATTACAAAATAATATAAAGAATACAGCAATTGATTTAGCCTGGTCCAAACTCATGAAAGAAGAAAAATATCGCTGCCCAAAAAATACACTCTACAAGATCCTTATTGGAGACTCAGAAGCTATCAAATTAGAAAAGAGAAGGTTATGGATCAAAGGTCTAACTACTGCAGAATCATTCAATGAAATCAAGAACCTTCTAAACTCAACAAAATCGATCTCATGCATAGTAGAACTCACAACACACATAATGTGGAATAGTTTCTATGATTTTATATAGAGAGACAGATGCAGCAAAGTTGTAGAATGAGAAAAAAGACAAAATATAAGAAAGATAGACAAAAGAAAAAATAAAGAAAAATTAACAAAACTGAGAAAGCTTCTGTCTAGCAACTCGAAAGAAAAAGGAGTAAAAGTAGGAAAAAAGAAAGAAAAAGGTATTAAAAGTAAAGAAAAGAAAAGAGACAAGATATCAGCAAAAGAGAAAAAGATACAAAAAGTTTGAAGTGATACTATTTTAAGTTGGATACAAAAGGGTGAAAACCCCTTTTGGACAAGTTTATAAAAAGAACCTTTTTTTTTTAGCTTATCAGTAAGCCAATACAATAGGTTGCACCTTGTACTACAAGTAACAAGGTGAAGTCAGGCTCTAATTTAGTCTTAGAAAATAAAAGTATAGATATAAAATTAAATGTACTTAAAACTAAAAGGTCAAGCCATGGCAAGATCTATTAAAGAAATAAAAAAAAAAATAATAATAATTATAAATAGACAAAATAAAAAAGGTATAAAATAAAAAAAATAAAACAAAAAAGGCAATACTATTATAACCTGTACTAAGATTTAAAAAATTATATACTGCTTTATAATACAATATTTATATATCTTTATTGTAAAGCTTTATCTTATTACTAAATTTTCTTTTATTCTAACAAACTAGTTTAGAAGTTTTTAGCCAATCTGCTCATAGTCTAAATTTTAAGCCAGATATTACTGCTATCTGAGAACTTATATTTCAAGCTATCTGCTACTACTTTTAGAAATATCTTAATCTAGAGTTAACTAAAAATAGTAGCTTCATATCTGTTTAGACCAAAAATATAGTTGCTATCTACTGTATTATCTGAATTTGAAAACTGTAAATAATATCAATTCTTTGACAAAAATAAACTATTTTGCCTATTTTTTCTAAAAGTTTTTTTTGTTGTCAGAATAAGTAAATATAAAAAGCTAAAGAAATTAGAAGAAGTATATCAAAAGAGTAAGTATAAAAGTTATACTATATAAAATATCATATTCTAGCAAGCAACTATTTCTATTTGTATATCTATAGTGCTTAACAAAACTCCAGAGTTGCTTTATTACTTCTTTGCTTAATAGTACTATAGCCTGTCAAAATACTTTATTTAAATATCTGCTATTAATTTTTTTTAACTCTATTTTAATAAACAGAACCTTTAGTAAATAAACTTTGAACCCAACAGCAGCTAAATAGAGTTTTGTTTTTATAAAATATAATATATATAAGGTTTTCATATAGTGTTTTTATAAATCTAAACTTTGTTTATGTTTAGATTTAGATTCAGTTCAATTATGTTTAATATTGAACTTTTAAGTCAAGTTCATATTTAGTTCAGGTTTAGTATTAAACTTTTAAGTTAGATTCATGTTTAGTTTAGGATTAGTTCAAAGTTTATAAACATGTTTAGATTTAGTAGTAGTTTAGTGACAAAATATAGTAAAATTTTAGAAAATTTATATATAGAGATTTAAAAATAAAAATAATTACAAATAAGAACTTATTTTTTAAAAAATTATTACAAATAAAGGCCTAAGGTGATTTTTATATAGTATATTACATGAATTAATTTTAAAATTTAAACTCGAGCTTATTATTACTCAAGCCTTGTAGTTCAAGCTAGTATTTAAGGATAGGGATACTACATAATAATCACTTGATTTTTTATTAATAAATTTTCCTAGGTAGTACAAGATTTTCTTATGTAGTACAGTATAAATAACATATAGATTTAATTGATATGCTATTGTAAAATAATTGACTATATAATTACTATAAAAAGCAATTTGTATACTCTTTACTCTTAAATTAGTAATTAGTATATAAATATAAAATAAAAAAAATACTGATTTTTTTCTTCTTGTTTAAATTTTTATAAACTTATTATTTTTTTTAATAAAATTATAATATTCAATATCACAATAAAAATCATATTTTTCAAGATTTACTTAAATATAGTACTGCAAATTAGTATAAAATTTACAGGTATAGAAAGTGTTTGCACAGCTATGGGCTATTTTTTAATTAAATTTTTTATACTTTATAAGTTTAAAACCAATAAATATAACAAGTTACTTGTTTGTCTTATAAACAAGACCAGTACATACCTATTTACTATCTCTGCTAATAAACATAATGATAGTTATATTTATATTGTAAATTTGATCGATTATAATTCAACATATCCAATCTATATAGAGATTTTTAAAACATATAGTTTTATCTTGTAAAGTTTACTGTACTATTAGTTAAGAACATAGTAGTAATTCAATCTAATAATATTATAAATTATGTTTGCTTTAAAGTAGAAGCTGAAACATCTTACATGATAGCTTAAAGAAATCAAACTGCTAACAAAATTATAAAGCAGAGGAAATAAATAAGAGTTATTAGTATATAAAACTATTATTTGATAATTTGCTTTTAGCCAATCCTAGAAGTATTATTATATTTGAAGTTGATGCTAAATATTAATTTATCTATATATTTCTATGCTTATAGCTATAGATCAAAGCTACTAAATATTGCAAATCTGTATTTACCTTTGATGCTTATCAGAAAATTTTATAAATAAATAAGTAACAATTACTAACAAATAATTAATAATTATTGATAAAAATTATTGATAGTTATTGGTATAGGTAATTATAAATAATACTTATTATTATCATTAACTGTTTAATTTTGACAGTTAATATTTATAAATGATGATTTATCATTATCAATTTAAATTAATAACTGTAAGTTTTGATTTAAATCAATAATAATAAATCATTATTTATAAGTATTAACTATCAACAGAAATGTAAGCTAGAGGATTTAAATGGGTATCCTCCATAGTTGGGTGCAGGTACGGCAGCTAGTGTGGAACCTAGGGCAGACTACTTAA